CTAAACCCTAAACTCTAAACCCATTGTGTTGTTACCGGTTTGGGCGTTTCTAGGTAGCATATGTTCAGGGTTTCCGTTTTGAGCGCTTTGGAACTCCAATGAAGGGTTTCAGTTTCAACGATGTGGCTTTGACTATGTCTCCTGATTCCGGATGTCAATGTCCTGAAGAGTTTCGAGAAACCCTAAACCCTAAACGTTAGAGGTGGGAGTTCAGGAGTTACAGGGTTCCTCAGTAGATTTCTTCGTGCCCTTCAATCAAACGAACCAGAAATGCTGAAGCGAGAGGTCTTCAATCTGAAAGTAGGTTCTTGCTCAGGTTATTGATTCAAGTTACCGCAATAGCAGGGAGCCATAGTACATAAAAGGGGTTCCTCGTTATGGCAACTGAGTTAATTTCGTTAGCAGGAACTTGAGCGAGAACCCAGGCAACCAAGCCATCAAGCCTTGAAGAGCATGTGAGTGTTCGAAGCTTTGGTTTCCCCCGAAGTGCACAAACCATCACCCACGTTTGCCAAGTACCCCAGGGCATGGAATCGGAAGCGCAAAGTCAACCCAAATATGGAAGCCGGGATAATTACCGGTACCATTGCTCAGGGCTCCTGATACTCCTGATACTATAACCATACTCCATCCTCAGAGTCTCTTATTATAGGTACAGTATAGGATACCAATTCATCAGGCCCGGTATGAATCCTTTAAAGTAGGCGGCGGAATAGTGACATTTATAGCCTAAACCCTAAACCCTAAGCCAAGAGCTTTGTTCGTATTATCAGGGTCCCCATGTTCGCCCCAGCCTCAAGGCTTCGAACACTGAAGGCGGCAACATAGCGTTTTGTTTTGGGGTTTGAGGTTTTGGGTTTAGGCTTTAGGGTTCAGGGTTTAGGCTTTGCGGTGCAGGCTTTACGGTTCAGGGTGTAGGCTTTACGGTTTAGGGTTTAGGCTTTAGGGTGTAGGCTGTCCTGAGCAACCAGTATAGTAGCATTCCGCAGGTTTCCTTCTGAATATAGAGTATAAGGGTCGTTCTCTAAAATAGGGTCCCTTTTTAGGTTCCCCAAAAAAGCCCAGGTGCTTGTAAAAAGAACCCGACAAGGGACCCTAATTTAGAGAAATACCCACAACGCACACCCAAAAGACTATAGTCTACTCTTTTTATATTTTGAGGCCCATTTATAAATTATGCGGCGTCTTGCCAGTTCCTTGAAAGGATTGCTGTAACGATGACTATTCTGATTTGCACAATGATACCACTACGTTGACGCCACAGCTCTGATAGCAAACAGCTAAACCGTAAACCCTAAACCCTAAAACCTAAACCCCAAACCCTAAACCCTAAACCCTAAACCCTAAACCCTAAACCTGAACCGACATAGACCCTAACCTGGCAATGAAGGAGACTGTGACCCTGATGAAGGAGCGCTACAAGGACACTGGCCCGTATCACGTTTTAGAAAGGTGGCAAAATTCTTAAGGGCCCTAGCATGTATCCAGTTCTGGGTTTGTGACTTAAAGGTTGCATGCAAGTTTGGCGAGATCCCAATGTACTATCCCGTGTATTGTTCGTTTGGATCCGCAGCTCAGGGATCTTAAGCTGTGTGGGTTAGCAGGTCATTCTGCATGTCAGGCTCAGACCAGCAGCATGACAGCATGTCGGATAAATCCCTCAACCCTCAGCCCTACACCCTGAAACCTAACCCTGAACTCGAAACCGTTTCGATCTGTTAAATCCTCAAGGCCGCCATATAGAGCACCTTCAACAGCGCTAACCCATTGTCCCCTGGACCGGCCGAGCCGATCCTTGCATTGAAGTCGCAAGGACGTCGCAGGCGATTTGATGGATGAGCCCAGCTTTGACATGTTTGTCACCGTTCCTGGGTTGTTAAAACTTTGCGTTTTGTGCTCTCTCACTCTCTCTTCTTCTTCTTCTTCTTATTATTATTATTCTTCTTATTCTTCTTCTTCTGCTTCTTCTTCTTCTTCTCTCTCTCTCTCTCTCGCTCGCTCTTGCGCACATATTATAGGTAAGTCAGTGCTTGTTGACAACGTATCATGCCATGCGTGCGACAGACTTTCGCGTTCTATTCTTTAGACCGTTTTGCTGTTGCATGGAGTGAGAAATACTCTCCAGCCTAAGAAGCTTGTGAGTGATCTTGAAGGCATGCCTGTTCCTTCAACAGGAAGCATCAGTACTATAGCCAACAAACAGAGACGAAGACTCACAGTCATAAAGTTCTCATGTCAGTGATGAGCAGATGAAAGAAGCCTAAGGCCACAACCCAGAAGCCCGAAACCTCAGACTCCGAATAATTAGGGTTTAAGGTTTAGGGTTTGGGGATTATTCGGCATCCTCTCATTAAGAAATAGCATGTCACACCACAGTATGACAAAACCCTATTTGAGTTATGAAGGCCTGTATATTACAATGACCCAAACCCGAGCCCTAAAACTTAAACCCTATAAACCCTAAGCCTTAAGCGTTATAAACCTTATAAACCCTACACCTTAAATCCTATAAGCTCTATGAGCCCTAAACCTTACTTAAACCCACAAAAACCGGTAAGCCCTAAACCTTAAACCCTAAAGCCAAAAACCTAAGCCTTATGCCCTGAAGCCTTCCACAGAGCCCCGAGGTTCCGCATGCTTTCGACCACCTTGTCTATGATGTCTCCCACAATAAAGACAAGCTGACACCTGGTGGAGGGTTTAGGGGTAGGGTTACCGGGTGGAGGGCGCAGAGGGTTTAGGGTCACCTGGTGGAGGGTTTAGAGGAGGGTTTAGAGTTTGGAGAGTCGTTTAGCGTTTCGGGTTTAGGGAGTTGTTTAGGGTTTAGGGGGCTGTGGCGGCTGCAAAGCTTGAGGGCGATGCTAGATGTTACGATCCGGTGCAGGTTGTTTGCATACTTGGGGGTCCGACTTAGATAATTTAATTTGATGCTCGGACGTCAGGGTTGTGCTTCTATGGGCACGGCGCAACCATAGTCTTGATATTGGCTTCAAGGTTTATTTTAACTTTTGGCGACCAAGGGTTTTCGTGTGTTTATGGCTTAGGCTCTCGGTTTCGTATCTCGCAGAAGTCAGAGAATTTATGTAAGTTTTTTGAGGTGTCAGGTATCGGTGTTTAGGCATTGCGGTGAGATGCACGGAGGGCTCCGGTACCGAGCTGTGTAGATGGATCTTGCACCGCCTGCCCAAGGCTGCTGACACCTGCGAGACAGAAGACCGGTTTCAAGATCTCCGAAACATTACGTTCCCATATCGAAGGTTTACCTGTAGCTCTCTTTACCTACAGTTTAGCAGCCATTAGCTCTTAATTAGTGGGCAGAACCCATAAGACTCTAGGTAGTTAGAGTCCCAGGTAGGGCTTTGGGATTAAGGTTATTCTCGGGGCGATACAACTGCAGCTTCTGACAAACCCTAAACCTAAACCCTAGACCCTAAACCCAAGACCCTAAACCCTAAACAAAGCTCCTGAATCCAAACTCACGTCTGCTTTGCCGAAGGTCATCCACGTCGACTTCACCATTCCACAGGCCAAAAACAGACAACTGTAACACGGTCTAGGGTTTAGGGTTTAGGGTTTAGGGTTCAACTGTACTCCAAAAGCCACAAAGGCCAGCCCTAAGCGCCCGGACTCACCTACCCCCAATTACCTAAACCGTAAACTGTTAAGCTTGAAGTTCCAAATACTCTATCCTTAGAGAGGGGGACCCCAATCCCCGAAGCCGAAGCCTTACCGTGGCTCAGGAATGAGTCCTGCGCCAAGACCATGCAGGCAGCTTTTGAATTCTCCGACCACCTCTGCCAGGTGGGGGGCGATTCCGGGTGTTACGGCTGGTTTCGAGTTGCCCTAAACCCTACACCCTGAACCTATTGCACTTAACAAAAACCCTGAACCTTTATGCTGTGATTTAACATCTTCAAGCCTTTTTTGGCTTTGAGCTCCTAGGGCTTCCGTTTGTTTTGAATCGGTTTGGGGCTCTGGGTTAATGCAGAAGCGCCAACGATGCCAAATCCCCACAGTTCAATCTCGCAATATGTAATAGCTCTGAGGACCGTAAGAGAGCAATGGTAATAAATGGTAGTAGCAGTGATTGCAATGACACTTGTAGCAAGCAATCTGTATGTATACATATATATAATATAGTATACAGTATATACATACATGCATGCATGCATGCATGCATACATACATACAGCTTGCAGAACATGTTTTTTTTAAATAGTGCTTCGGGTATCAGACTTCCTGAGGCTTTGGTCAGTCCTACAGAAGGTTTCGACATGACATACTGCATGGGTCTTCGATTGGTGCTTATGGCTGTAGCGACCTAAACCGTAAACCCTAAACCCTTAACACTAAACCCTAAGCCCTCAAAAGCCCAAAGCCCTAAGCCCTAAACCCTAAGGTCGTGGCAGCCGTTGAAACCATGATGACAGCGGACAACGTGCCTGGAAGTACCACTGGATTCAAGGTGCCCTGGCCAAGATCGGAGTCGTAGACGGCCATGGGTCGAAAGTTTAGGCTTGCACTTCTGCCCCTCTCCTTCTTTAGGGTTTAGGGTTCAGGCTTTTAGGGTTTAGGGGTTTACGGTTTAGTTCTGCTCCTCTCCTTCGAATGATGCTGATGTAGAGTGTCCCCCCGGCATCCAGATGTCGCGGATTGGGGAGTTTGCGCATTGCAGCGACATGCGCCTTAGCTTTCCTGAGCGCAGGTTTCCCCGATGTCAACCCTGCTTGTACCAGGAAGTTGCCGGAGAAAGACACTACAAGCCTTGAGGGTCGGGAGGACGGTAGTGTTCCCGGCTATCAGGAAAAAAGATCACGATAGTAGTTATGTATAGTTGGTTTCAGGGTGGTCATGAGGGCAGAGATGTGTCTCTGTGTGTGCGCTTGATGAGGTTCGTTCTAAACGTTTTCCGTGTTGTTATCCCCTTATTCTACGTCCAATTACTGTCGTCGCATCATGAAGTGTCCTGCCTCAGTGCCTTTTGGTCTCGCCGGTTCTCCGACGTCTGCTCCGGCCACTACTCCAGCTACCCTTTCTCCAACCCTCAGGACGACGACAATCCACCACCACTTCGACTTGGTCTAACAGTAGTAGTAGTAGTAGTAGTAGTAGCGGTGGTAGTAGTACTAGCGTACCTTAAACCCTGAGGAGAGCGACTTTGTTGAACCCTAAACCCTAAACCCAGGTCTTCTTCTTGAAGAAGACCCGGGTTTAGGGTCTAGGGTTAAACCCAGGTCTTCTTCTTGAACCGACTCCAACGCTACCTTCGGCGTGCTGCCGGGCTGCCCGAGTCCCCGCGCGAGATCGTGGAGACGGACATCGTGGTTTAAGGTTGCAGCTGTCGGGATTCGTGGAATCCTAAACCCTATAAACATTAAAGTTTAGGGAGTACAGGGTTTGGGTTTATGAGGTGTGGTGTGTTAGGGTCTCGGAGCTTCAGGCTTTATCAAGTGGCGTTCGGGCCTTTCTGCATGCTTTTCAAGGGTGGTGTAAGGCTTAAGAGCTAGGATTAGGGGGACACTTGGGGATATAGACCCTCTCAATAAGGTCCCTTTTAAGAGAGCCAAAAGTAGGGTTCAGAAGGGGTACCCTTTAAGGGGTACCCCTAATAGTACTTTAAGGCTGAGCGGAACGATCAAGGTCCCAGGAGCCGACCAAGGGCGTTTTGAACCAAGTGGCCGACTCCGCCGCCGTCAAAGCGGGTTTAGGGTTTAGGGTCTAGGGTTAAGGGTTTAGGGTTTAGGGTGTAGGGGTTTAGGGTTTAGGGTTTATGCAGAATATCGGGGTGAAATAATTCTTACGAGTATCTTCAGAATCCCAACGACTATACCATGAACAGCCAAGGCTTAGTTTTGTTCCTCTTTACTCTTGGCCTTATTGTCTGGTTTTGGCTTCCGCCATTGACTTGCAGAAGCTACAAGTTGAACGAATTGTGCCAATAGAAGTCTGAATAAGTAACAAGACTGTTCCTCAGAGCTAATTACCCAGAGGGTCCATATACACTACCATTATGGAATGAGGTCCCAAAAGACCATCCCTATTATGGTTTTGGGGACCTAATTCCATAGTAGTAGTATATATGGACCCTCTTGGTTAGTGCATAATGCTCACCAATACCCTATTCTAGGTATAATGGCCCTTACACTGTGACGTTCCAGCGCAAGATGGCCTCCGCAGACAGAGCTTCTTATTTCCAGCATTTCCAAAGCAGGGCAAATCCAATGCCAGTGTTGACTACAGTCTAGGGTTTGGGCTTGGGCAGACGCAAGCAAGCATGTTGCAGTTCTGTGTGGGCCCTGTACATATATACACCATAGACGACCGTATCCCCGAAGATGACCATATGGGCTGCCACAAGGATTTCTGTTCAAACCTACACCCCAGACCCCTAAAACTGCGTTTCCGAACCTTTTCAACCCTACACCCCGGACCGCTAAAACAAGCTTCAGAAAAACCCGGGGAACAACCGTAAAGAGCGCCTTACATCCCCAAACCTCCAATCCACACCCTAGACTCTCCCTAATCCCCATGCAGGTACCTACTATATAGGGTACTAGAGGCCCGAGGGCCCTATATAGTCGATACCTGGAGGGTTAGGGTCTTACACACAGAGACACACACACACACATGCACATCCAGACACTTTAAGCCTTCACCACTACGCCCTGAAACGAAAAAACCCTAAACCCTCAACTGTAAAGCCTAAGCCCTGAACATCTAAACCCTAAGCCCTAAACTCTAAGGCCTAAGCCCTGAACATGTAAACCCTAAACCCTAAACTCTAAGGCCTAATCCCTGAACATCAGAGTCTCTAGGACAAGCCACGGCACCTCTCCTCCGCCGCTGCCGTTACTCGCCTGCCAAACCTAATCTGCAAACTTGCGCTTTAGGGATTTAGGGATTTAGGGTTTAGGGTTTAGGGTATAGGCATGTCTGGGCTTGGGTTTCAGATTCAGGGTATTTTGTATTTTGGCCTTAGGACATGGGCTGTTGGGTTGGGTTTAAAGTTTGGTCTAGGCTTCCAGGTGAGGCTCACGTGGGCGTCGCTGATTCTCCGTAGCTCCCGTTTGGTGGTTAGAACTCTGGGAGTTCTTTTAAGAAGAAACTGCGTGGGCCGGTTTAGGGGTGAGGGTTGAGGGTTTAGGGTTCGACGAGATGAGCTGTAGATTGAGAGCTTGAGGTTCTTGTCTCTGTATGTTTCGCTAGACGGTTTCTGCTGAAGAACCATCCAAGACGTACTTGTGTGGTTTCTGAGCGATTAACAGCAGCTTCTGCTACGGCTCACGAACTACTGCCTGGCGAAGTTGCCCGGCATGCCCCTAACAGCACATTGCCGAAAGACAAATAATGGAGTCCGTATGCCGTCCTCATGATGTTGCGTCAGTGTCATGCTGACTGGTGCTACATGGACAACATGTCCGGGCAAGGAGGGCAAGTAGGCACGTTCATCAGATATACCGTATACCGAATTCAGCAAGCTACTGTCCTGGCCTTGTGTCACATATAACAGCTGTGCCAACACAACGTGGACTTCTGTGTAGCACGTACGTTCTCGTTGCGATCTTGCAGAGGGAGCATGGTCTAAGCTGCCCAAGGTTTTTTCCTGTTGTTTAGGTTTAGGGTTTGGGGTTAAGGTTTTAGGGCTTTGGGTTTAGGGTTTAGGGTTTGAGCCTTAGGGTTAAAGGTTATGTTTCACACGGTATGGTCTGCAATGTGCGGGAGGCAGGACATGTACCAGACAAGGCATTGTCGACTTGTAGGGAGACAGACCCTGCATAATCCAACAGCCTCCACGAGACCGAACGAAGTAGGCGTGCCAACATGCAAACAAGGTCTTCAATGTTATACCTCAAAGCCTAAACCCTTAAACCCTAAACCCTTAAACCCTGAACCCTAAGCCCTCAGACCCTGAACCCTGAACACTAAACCCTAAACCCTTAAACCCTGAACCCTAAACCCTAAGCCCTCAAACCCTGAACCCTGAATACTAAGCCCTAAACCCTAAACCCTCAAACCCTGAACCCTAAGCCCTCAACCTTAGACCCTACATCCTTAACCCTCAAGCCTAAACCTTGGACTGCACCCTTAAACCCTAAAGCCCAAACCTTAGACCCTACATCCTTAAACCCTAAGCCCTCAACCGTAGACCCTACATCCTTAAACCCTAAAGCCTAAACCTTGGACCCTACATCCTTAAACCCTAAAGCCTGAGCCTTAGACCCTACGCCCTTAAACCCTCTTTTAAAGCTGCCGCAGGTGGAAGGGGTGGAGCCGGTCAGATCACGGCTTTTCTTTGGCCACAGTGGCTTGGCTTAGGGTTTAGGTTTTAGGGTTTAGGTTTTAGGGTTTAGGGCTTTTAGGGTTGAGGGGTTTGGGGTTTCGGGTTTAGGGTTTAGGGTTGAGGGGTTTAGGGTTTCGGGTTCAGGGTTGAGGGGTTAAGGGTTTCGGGTTTAGGGTTTAGGGTTGAGGGGTTTAGGGTTTCGGGTTTAGGGTTTCGGGTTTAGGGTTTAGGGTTAGGGTTCAGGATTTAGGGTTTCGGGTCTTCGATCTCATGTGTCTTGTTGCATCTTCGGAACTCCGAGTGCCTTATCCGGCCTTAGCCTTATCCCTAACCGCTCAAAGGACCCCATGAATGAGTAACCGACCAGTGCGCGAAGCCGGAACTACCCCAAATGGGTGGCACTTGGGGGTCCGTAAACCCTAAACCGTCCTAGATTCCGTCGGCGAGTTGAGAGGCGTCTATTCAGTCTGTAAGGGGGCCTTGCGTTTTTACTTAGCCCATGGGGGAGCTTTACACGTGCTGGCCGTATATCGGGTTTAAGGTTTAGGGTTCATTCTTGTTCTATCTGAAAAGTTCGAGGTTCTTCGGGCCCTAAACCCTGAACCCATAAATCGTAACTTGAGGCTCGTGGCTGCAGGGGGTCATCACCCTTCTCTTCGGGAGCTCCTTCTCAAAGTATCTGCCAGGAGGACCTCGGCGTGAAGGTTTCAGGGTTTAGGGTTTAGGGTTTAGGATTAGTTTCAGGGTGTTCATGGTTTAAGTCAAGGGTTTCCCAAGCCATGCTGCTTCAGGGATCGTGCTGGAACAATTCATGCGTGCTACCTCGATAGTTTTGGGGCCAAGCATTGAGTTCATTGGTCTGATTGATCAGCAGAGGCTAGACCAGGCATTGCATGACCAGCAGAGGCTAGAGCAGGCTTTGCATATCAAAGTTGCAGACAGACGTGTTTCAGAGTTTCGCCAAATGGATGCTGCTTTTGTGAGCCGGCTGAAAGGGCTGTGCCCATACATATACGAAGCTGGCTACGAGTATGATGAGCCGAGTGGACTCATGAGACGCGAGAGATTCTTATACTGCTTTCAGTATGGGCATTCCTTGTTGAGCACGGCGCTCGAGAGGGTCCCAACCTGAGTTTCTCGTGTCTTCGTTCCAGCAGTGTAGAAGCCAGAGTGGTAGATGAAATCATAACACACCATCGTCCGAGGAGGGCGTGCAGAGTGCATCTGTGGTGGGCATGGACGACACGGAGTCCATAGAGACGGTGCGAGGACAAGACCTGTGTCCCTGGGTTGCACGTTCTCGGTTCGCAAGTCTCTTTATCTGGAACCCTGGTGGTAAATCAATATTTACTTGAATGAGGTGTGACCATGTGCTCCAGAATATTACCTGGAGGTTTGCTTTACCTCGTGTGCCCCGGATGAATGTCATCATGTGGTCTAGAGCTCCCTTGCGGTTCCTGTTGTCAGAAATAGATTGAGGCTCTCTCGCCATTGCTATGCGAGCTTGGGGGTGAAGCACCAGGTGGCTGTGACTCGGCTGAAGGATGCACGCTCTTTGGGTCTCTCCTGTGAATAAACCATCATCCTTCCGGAATGGACTGAGGCTTTCCTGGGCAACTTGTTTCTCTTAGCCGACATGATTGCTGTCCGGTGTGTGGTGCATGTTCCGTTGGTTGAGAGCCGCTTCTTCGAGACGCACCCGGCTTTGGAGGCTAGAATGGGGCTTGGTTGCTTGACTTTGGGCATAACAGTGCACGTTCATTGACTTCTGGAAGCAGGAGGTGGCACGGCGGCTCCTCTTTGTCCGATGCTGCTTCCCGATGTCAGCATTCTGCTGCCGCAAGCAGCAGCTGGGAATAGCAATTGGTGAAAGAGATATGTGTGTGTTTGTGCTCGGTGAATGAACATGAATGGAACTGAGGGAAATGACATGTCTTTGGGGAAGCGACAAGCTTGTCATCAAGGCAGTGAGACATGTCGCTGGACGGCTTATGCATATGATACTCGTCTGCAGTTCATTAGGACAAGAGTCCTCAATCAGATCACGGTGTCTTGCCCATCACTGGTCTAAGGTACCCTCCTTTGTGCAACCGGCGAAATGCCGGTGCACCAACCATGGGCAGTTACCACGGCGAGCACACCGGCACCTACACCTATTGTGCCACTTGCCTTACTAATGTGGTTCTGTTGGCGGTTGATGTGTGGTCTTTTTTCAGAAGTGGGCTTGGGATTCAGGTTTGCGACATCGTCCTCTTGCGACACCGACGGTCCGTGGACGCCTTGCTGTGCCTGAACTTGAGTAGACTGCTCGATGAGCTGGCTCGTGATCTCTTGACTCAGGCCCGGCATGGGTTGATACATAGAAAGAGGAAGTTTTGCGCAGTGATTCACGCCCAGGACATCGACGAAAGCTTCATGTTGCTTCGTCTTCAGGGAAATCCGTTTTCAACATGCAGACGACAAACTTTGCAGTTGAAGGCGATGTTTCTTCATGGTCGCTTGTTTTTATGGTTTTCGATGCTGCTCCACTTCATACTCTCATTGAATTGGAGGAAGAGGACCTCTATGTCTGCCGACCGATTGGGCCGCCGACTCCTGCTGTGCCAGGGCTGCATTGTGTTGCTTGGTTTCTCTTTTGTGGCGGCAATCTTGTGCTGCCTTCATTTCGTCGAGTACATGTGTTTCTTTGATTGTGGAGGGTCTTGGGGCGGATTCTGGCTTTGCTGAGATGGCGGCGGCGACGCCCAACGTCGTGGATGCTGTGGGCCAGGACCGGCCTCCATGAACCTGTCTGTGAATCCAGTGCAATGTGAAGTTCCGTTTTGTCTGTGGTAATCATGTTATTTGTTTTGCAGGAGTGGGAGGTTTTAGGTGCCTGATGGCATCGTGATGCTTGATCGATTATAATAGAATTGCTCGACTGCTTTTTCCGGGTCACTTGGCCAAACTGACGATTTCATGGAGTCAGGTGACTCCAGCACAAGAACGTGGCAACTAAGGATGGCAATGCCTGGCAATGCTTGGCCATGTGTGTGGAATGACCACGCACAGTGCTTTCGGTTTGTGCTTTGGTTGATTTCATTCATGATAATCAACTTATGCTCCAGCAAGCACAGAAGTGCCACAAGCAGGATGTAGTTGTAGCTCTGAAATTGGAGATTTGTTGAATCCGGGATATGGGCTGCTTCCTCATGCTTCTTTGTCCCAGGATGATTGCTGTCAGCTTGATTTCTGAAGACTACTTGTGCTTTCTCTATCCTACGTTCATACCTGAACTCCTGTAGTCTTTGCCAAAAGCCCTAAAGCCCTAAACCCTAAACCTCTAAACCCCTAAACCCCTAAACCTCTAAAGCCCTAAACCCTAAACCTCTAAACCCCTAAAGCCCTAAACCCCCAAAGCCCAACCCCTGTATCGACTGAAGGAATTTCAAGTGCGAGGCCTGCAGATTTGATGCTGTGGGCTTCGGGTTGATGGTTTGAGGGTTTAGAGGTTTAGGGGTTAGGGGTTAGGGGTTTGGGGGTTTAGGGGTTTTGGGTTTAGGGGTTTGGGGTTTAGGGTTTAGGGTTTAGGGTTTAGGGGTTTAGGGGTTTGGATTTAGGGGTTTAGGGGTTTGGGTTTAGGGGTTTAGGGTTTAGGGTTTAGGGTATAGGGTTTAAGGTACACTTCATCAAGGAAGATACCAGGGTTCCTGAAAGGGCGCCTGAAAGGGATCTATATGGGTTCTATAAGGGAAAGCAAAGGAACATGCCTTAAGTACTGGTAGGATCCGTATTATGATGATTTAAGGTGCAGGTCTTGCTTCAGGGATTTCGGAAGGTCTGGGTACAGACCAAGCCTACAAGCCACTGCAGGCCGTTGGACTTCTGGCAGTGGTTGCCACTGCTTGATAGCCCAGAGAGTACTGCAGGGTTTAGGGTTTAGGTTTAAGGGTTTAGGGTTTAGGGTGTTTTCGCGAGTGGTGGTTGGAGCTCGAGGATTGCGTGTTTGGCGTTGGGAGTGAACTGTTCTGCCTTCTCATTTCGGAACTTACACTTTAAGCTCTCGTAGGAAGGGTTTTGCCAAAAAGCCCGATCTTGGTCCCCCTAGACCCTAAACCCTAACACGCACCCCTGGTCGGAGTTCCTTAAGCCCCCCGACCGCTCCCAGAACCCAGCAGGGCTTGGCCTAAGGGCGCATGTACCTAACAATCATACCCTCTCCTAAATCATATGGTTTTGGGTGTTAGGGTTTAGGATGGCTTAGGATGGTTTAGGGATATACTCTCCCAAATGCTAAATTCCAAAACTTCTACTGTTTAGGGTTTAGGGTTTACGGTCCTGAACCCCAGTACCTAATTATTAATTAGGGAGTTTGGGCCTTCAGGGATTGGTTTGTGCTTGGCGGTCGCGTCTTAGCTCTGCTGGCTAGTCGTTCGGGTTGGTCGGCGTTGGGCAGTCTCTGCACGTTTCTACCGACATGTAAACCCTCCCTCCCAGGCATTATGGGCTTTTCATGTGCCCCAAAATCTTGTTCTAATTATTAAGGCCCCTACATTACCTTATGTAAGGGTCTTTACCGTAGGATCCTAGGTAGTACGAGGCTCAGCCCTACTCCTGGCTCTCTTGAAAGGGACCTTATTGAGAGGGTCTATATCCCCAAGGGTCCCCCTGACCCTAACTCCTAAACGAATGCCAATATTGTTCCTTTGGGTTTCCCCGGTAGAAGCATACATTCCCCAAAGCCCCATCTTGGTATGTAACCTAGGGGTCGGTTAAGTGACCATCACATTAATCTAACTCTCATGGAATCAGAAGGGGTACCTGATTTAAGGGTTTTTACCTTTCGAGGATCCCAGGGTTCAGTCTAAACCCTAAACCCTATCTTAACCTACCATAACCTATTTTTGTAGGGTCCCAAGACATCCAAATTAGGATCTATAATCAGAACCTACAGGAAAGATCAGACAAGTAGGTTATGGTCGTTCTGAGCCTCCTATTTCAGGGGCCAAGACGGCTCGTGTTCGCATGCCCACCTTTTCGGTGTGATTTTTGATCGAAGCTCTGCCGTCCCCCTGCCCTTTCCGTTCCTACCCACCCCAGACTGGAAGTTGGAGGAGTTTGTATGAACGATGGGTTATGGTGCCTTCTTATAGACTTATGGTCGCATTATGATAATACGGGCGCTGTGCCGCCAAAATGCTTGCCATAATTATCAACTTCCCGCGTCAAACGATGTGAGCAAAGCCTTGTAGCACTTCCGTCGAAGCATTACGGCCCGGCCCTCGCTTTCGCCGCCCGAAACATGAGCCAGACTTGGGGACCAAATGATCCCTAGACCCTAGACCCTTGCATTATGAATCCTGATATGTGTAGTTCTCTAAACTAGGGTCCCTTTTTGTGGTCCCCATTTTAGTACGGCACCCCTGTAAAAAAAGACCCCCAAAGGGACCCTAATTTAGAGAACTACCAATATGGTCATTGAATCTTTAACCATTTTATGGTACATGTCGTCTTTCGGGGGGAAGAAAAGCCTGGTGGACGAGCTGAACATCGAAGGCCACAAGAAGCTATCTGCGCAAGCTGGAAGATCCCCCAACTCGTAAGGCCTGAACACCTGAACGAGCAATCCATAATTCTGGTATCCGACGGGTTCCGTTACTATGCATCTATATATATATATGCATACATATATATATATACATATATATATGTGTATGTATATATATATATATATAAAGTACATACCGAGGTTAGAATGAAAACGATAATCGACCCCAAGCCCTGTTCTGATTCTTGAGGCCTTTGAGTACCGGCCCCCTGCATTGCATAGTTCGAGCTACCTAGGTCGTCTTCATCCGCTATGAAGCCCTTCCCGGGGAGCAGGCCTGCATCGCCCCAGCTTCACCATTGTGGTGCAATCTAATGAAAAGAGGGCCTGAATATTTAGAACAGGGTTATGGGAGACATAACATGACATTATTCATAATCGTCACATGAAGGAGCCCCCTTCCTCCTTCCTCCTTCTTGCTAACCGAATAGGCACCTCGTCGGTGGTTCTAGCTCATCTTGATTCATTCCGGTGCTCGGCTTAACACAAGAAAGCCTAAGGACTGGTAAAGTGAGTTTGCAATGGCAGGGACAGCGATCGTGGCAATGACCGGCTCGTTTTTGCTTGCACACAGCATACAGATTTCAGCTAAACTATGACAGCTGGAGCAGCTAAGAAGAGAAGCATCAGTCCCTTGGGGGGCACTTCAGGGACTCATCATCGCATAAGGGCCCTCACCCCTAGCCCCCTAGATCTTGTCTTGATCCTAAACCTTTCACCCTTTCAATCCCATCGGCCTCTGCAGATCGGAGCAGAGGAAGAACTTATGCTGCGCAAGCCCCCCAAAACACGGAACCCCTCAACCCTAAACCCCAAACTACACCTTCAACCCCAGAAGCGCGACAGCGCACATGAGCATGCCGGACTGCCTTACACTACTACGGCTCATGGTATAGGGTTTAGGGGCCTTAAGAATTGCAATAGGGTTTTGGGCTGCTTTATAGTACAGCATTAAGAAGGAAACCCTAAGGCATAATATGGGTAACTACGGTCCTGCATTACCCGTAACAAGGAATGCACCAGAATTCCAGGCCCCTGATTAGCCCTCTTCCTTCAAACAGCGGGTACCGTATAATAGGAATCCCATCAAGGGTGAAGGAGCGGCCTTCTTGTCGGGGTAGCCTATCCCTTGAAAGAAATAAGATTCAAAATCCCTGAAGCCCAAAGCCCTTAAACCCGGCTAGACCCTTAAAGGAACCCGCTAGACCCTTAGAACCCCTTAGACTACGGGAGATGTGAAGCCCTTCCAAGATCTAGAGCTCTTATAGAAACCATACAAAATCCTCATAAAGCCCAATATGACACCCTTGCAAAAGCCTTGTCGAAGCCATCAGAAAACCCTCGGAAACCCTTAAATGAACTTTGCTGGATCATAGAAGCCCTGTAGAGCCGTCCCTAAACCCCCTAAACCTTAAACCCTAAATCCTACACCCTAAACCCTAAACCCTAAACCCGAAACCCAAAACCCTAAACCCGAATTTCAAAACCCTAAACCCTAAACCTGCCGAGTCATCTCCGTTTCCGGCATAGGAGCGCCAGCCAGTGCAGACGAACCAGGTCGGCCAGGGCTTCGGTTTAGCTTTTAGGGTTTTGGGGTTAAGGGGTTTTCAGGGTTTCGGGTTTAGGCGTTTTTAGAGGTTTAGGGTTTAGGGTTGTTTAGGGTGTTTAGGGCTTGTTTGGTGTTTTTAGTGTGTCTTAGGGTGTTTAGTTAGGGGTTTTTAGTTGTTTTTTGCTTTTAGGGTTTAGGTTTTTT